TATATATATATATATATATATATATATATATATATATATATATATCTTAATTTTACCATCATGTTTTTTCTAACTTAAAGTAATCCGTTTTCGAGTGGCATAGCCAAAGTAATGTCTTTAATCTGATTTAATCTGATTAGGGTGACATAAGGAGTGCTTCCAGCCTAAAAGAGTTTTGGCTCTTCAAAAAAGACGGTCAGAACAGAACTGTCAGAAGCTCAGAATGTTAGGACCCAGAATTCAAGCAGTATTGAGAAACCAGGTAGAGTTAGACAGGCGAATTAAATGAGTAGTTTTTGGGAGGGGGCGGAAACATCTGCGTAATTCTGCAGTGAGACCTCCTGTGATGAGCTCTTTCTCAGCCAACAATAAGGCTTTGTGTTTTCTGCTAAAAGCTAAGGCTGCTAGAGGATTATTTACTGAATAGAAGAGATTGAATGTGAAAAGATGTATTTTTCTATCTGAAAAAATATTAAAGTTATTGATGAAGTTTATATGATTTATATTATTTTAACGTATATTTTGAACCATTTATCAATCGTCAGAAATCTCAACAAAAAAAAGACATATGAAATCTTCTTTGTGTATTTCAGGTTTATTTTTGGTATCCGCAGCTCTAGAGTGTATGATGATGATATTTTGAAGGGTTGGGTGCTCTTTAATAATCACCATATTTTCTGAGATATCCAACACCACATAACTGGTACAAATCATCACATTTCTGTTAATTTATTGTAGAAGTTTTAAATCCCATTCACAGTTGTGTTGTTCACGATAAGGTCTTTGGCCAGGGGTGATACCCTTTCTTTGGAAGCTCAGAACACTATTTAGAATGTAGAATTTTCTCATAACTTTTATTGTTGGATAATTTTCCTGTTTTTCATTCTGAAGTCTTGCAAACCTGTTTAGAAATAGATTATTGGTGTTCTGTCTGATGAATAGGTTATTGAGCTGGCTGTCATGCTTTGGGATCACATGCATTGTTGAATTAATGCTGTATTAACCTCCACATTCACTTATATTTAATGAGCTTTTCATCTTCAAAACAGCTAATTGCTGTAAAAGTTTCTCAAAGTCCTCTTTGGTGAAGAGAGGTATTTTTTGCTGATTAGCCAGCATTAACCTGGGCTTCTTTTGAATAAAGAAGACCTGCAGAATAGAGCAACTGCTGCATGCCAGCTCTACTGTCCTGCAATCAGACAAAATGCTTGCTCCACATTAAATGAAATAAGTAACATAGAACTTTAAAACTAAATGCTACCTGATATATTTTCTCTATATTTATTGTTATTGCTAATATTTAGAACAGTTAATTTGCCTATCGGTGTAGTAAGTTGTTCATGTCTATCAAATGTTAAACATGTTCAATCTGTGGACCCTGGCAAGAGATAAAAATGTAACTTTGAAAAACTTTACCAAGTACATATCTTTACTAATATACAATGACTGTTTTTGTTTTCTTGAGAGAAGAAGGATTTCCCAGAATTCAATATCCAATATGGCTGCAGTATTATAAAATACTAAAATAAATACATATTGTGTTAATCTGCTCTGCTGACCAATAATCTGGAATTTAAAAATTATTACTAAAAAGGTTTGTAGGGCAACAATCCTGCCGCTTTTCAAAATGCACTCAACTCTGAAATGCTATTCCCAGATCCCAGAGTTCAAAGACAATTTCAACCTAGCACAAATGCAATACCTCTAAGAGAGTTGGGGGTCTTATAGAAAACATGTTAGGTATCAAAGTTTATAATTTTATGCCAATAAGATGTTAAATATCAGATATTTAGAACGATTGTAAGTGGTCACTAAATATAGACAGAAGTCTAAACAAACTCCAAATGGCTTTTACTTAGCTGAAATCAGCACACTATAAACTTCAGCACAGTGATCTGGTGTTTTAAATTCCACATCAGGTCCAGACGAGTATGAATGGCTCAGAGATATTGCCCACTGTCAATGAAGGATGTCAAATTATATTTGCATAAACCTTTTGGCTCTGCCAGGATGTCTGTCTTGATTAGAGTGAGATAAGGTTTAAAAAAAACAGAGGTTTTGGCCACAAAGGCTTTCGTCATCTTCTAGATTTATGCTTCAAATATTTTCATTCATAGCACGGAACAGAATTATTGTACATACACACACATACACATATATATTATTTAAGAAATCAAATAACTGTTCTGGAATAAAACATAAGAGTAAAGCAGTCTCTAGATCCATATAAAGTCATTTAGCTTGCTATTAATGGTACCGTATGGTACATCATATTTTCTCAAAGTGAAGTAAGTTTGAATACGACGGAGTATTAGGGCCTGTCTAGAGACTTTTTTTTTTTATTCGAAAATGAAGTCGTAAAAATTATAAGAATAAGGTAACAGAATTACAAGAATAAAGTCGTAATATTACGGTAATAAAGTTGTATTTTTTGTCAACTCTTACAAAAAGCACTTTCTTCCCTAAAATGAGGAATGTCGCGCATCAGGTGAAGTTATACTTTAGCATCGGTTTGACAAAAAAGGAAATCTTTGAGCACACCAGCATCAAATTGGGCAGAATGTCAAAGTGGTTGTTGGTTTGGGGTGCTGGTCTGCCGTCATATGCTGGTCAGAGCTCAGGTCTTTTTTTTCTGAAACAGGTTGTAGTATGATGACTTCGTTCTCATTATTTTTCAACTTTATTCTTGCAATTTTATGACTTTCTTCTCCGAAATGTATGACTATTATTGCGACTTAAATATTGCGACTTTATTAACATTATTGTCACAATTTGATCATGGTTAGTTGACCCAAAAGCAGAGGCAAGGAGGCAGAGGGGAAATTTCTTGTGAAGATGTAATGAAAGGTTAAACTGGAAACAGAGGCAGGTAATCCAAAATCCAAATATGAAAACACAAAGTCCAAACCAACAGGAAACGAGAATCCCCCCCAAAAAAATGAAAACAAAGTCCAAAAACTATCAGGAAACTAGGAGTCCAAAAAAAAAATCAAAAACATGAAAACAAGTCTAAACTAACCAGAAACCATGGAAACATCAGGAGGATCACTATCACCAGGAGGAAGGCTCAGAGAGACGAGCTGGAGGAAGTTAGACGAGGTTAGACGAGGACTCAGCAAACAAGAACTGAAGAGGGAGAGCATTTAAAGGAGAAAAGAAAAGAAGGAAAAGAGCTAGGGAAAAAGGAGAACACAAGAGGGGAGCAGAGGGGAACAAATGAAAAACCTAGAAGACTGGAAATAACTAGAAAATGCAACAAAATAATAAATAAACCAGAAAGAATGCAAAACATGGAGCAAAGCAAAACTGAAAACTCAAAAGAAAAACATAGCAAAAACAGAAACCTAACAGTTATGATTTTATTCAAGTATTTAAAAAAAAAAATCCCTTGCCTGGCCCTAATACTCGTATTTGAAAGCTCTGCGTGCTGCATTTTTAGTTCAGACGTGTTTCTTTTCCCTTTCAAAATATCAGGATAGGTTTCTTTGTAATAATCACTGCTCATGCCAGCAAACATAACTGTAAACCATCTGCCCCTCCTTTCTTTAGATGCCCTAAAGATAATCAGTGTTAAACTGATCTAAACTTTTAAAACATTAGAAAAACACACCAAAATTGACAAAACTCTGAAAAATACAATGCTGTAGACATAAAACCACACAGTAGATTGCTGCTCCTAGCCGTACATTTTTCTCAGATGAGAGAGCAGGACATATTAAGTGGATTTTGTATGTGGAGTAGTGTAGCCTATGTATAAATTAATCAGTGGTGGGCATTTATAGAGGCTGTTTTGATGTTTGTTAAGTTCTACGATATAGCATCAGACAGAGGGACTTGATTTGCTTTTCCACTCTTCCAGCAGTGACTTACAGGTGAAAGTCTTTGTTCATACCCTGAGCATTTACTTCGGCATTCGTATCAGGTTTTACAATGAGGAGGAAATCAGTGCCAACCACTCCAAAAAAAAAAAAGGGGGGGGGGGGGGGGAGTAGATTGGTACATGGTCATGAACAGCACAGAACAATCTGGATAACCTGCACTCTCTACTACCTCCTGGATTTTATATGGCAATGATGCATTATGGCTAAATGCCGACCCGTTGTTGCCCACATTAAAATTATGAAGCACCTTGGAGTGCTGATTATCAAGGTTTTTTATATTTTAAAATGAACTTCATAATTGAATGTATAGATTGTCTGTTTGTAGTTGCTTGAAGTAGGTTGGAACGACACCAAGTTATTCAAGTGTTCTAATTTATAATTTCCTAGTTCTCTTCACCAGGTGAAAGAACCATCAGCACATCACTGAAGGTGTGGCTTGATGAAATAAATATATGGAAGGAGAGATTTTTAGTTTTAAATGGTTTCAGCGCCTGTTTTTTACATTTGGATCATGCTGGGATCAGTAAAATGTGATTGTTATCCATCCTGTTCAGAAGAATTGGTCAAATGAATCACACGTATATTATAAGCAAGACATGGTCTTTCAAGGGTCTTCAAAGGTACTTATCCCTTTCAGGAAGCTATTTTTAAATAAGAGCTGTGTGACAACAGGAAAGACATGGTGGGGTTTCTCAAGCGCAGTCTGTTAAACCACCTCCAGAGGCTTTTTTTAATTTACAAAAGGCCACTGGAAAGATAAGTAGAATCTTCAATGTGTTTGCAAAAAACCCAGATTTCCAAATATATGGATGGGTCTAAAAAATGTTTAGATGCATTCTTCTAAATGTCATCCAAGGATTGACATAGAGGTGTCCTGAGTCTAAGCAATCTAAATTGCATTAGATGGGAACCAAAGTGTGAGCATGGTTTCTTTTTGAGTTTCCCCTCTCTGTAAATAAATTAAAATTAAACTAGATTGCTCGCAAGCAGAGGACTTACCCTGGAATGGCAGAGAAAACCAGTGTACAACAGTAGGGCTGCAGGAAGCAGCACCACAGAGAAGACCATAGCCAGCAGCAGAGCACTAGCAGAGACCACGCACAGGTTCCAGAGGATGAGAACCCCTCCACAGGCCACAAAGCCACACGTGTCCCTACGGCTGCCCCACGCGCTGCCATCAGTGTGGGCCACTGGAGGAGAAAGCATCTTCTCTGCATCCCCAAGCCAGAACTCCTCGTTCTTTTCCTCTTCAGCTGAGCCTCCTTCATCCAGATCAACATCCACACCACACATTCTGGGAAATCAAGCAATCTAGTTTAGAAATTACTAACAAGTACTATGTCTTGATAATGACACTGTTAGACAAAGAAATGTTGTGAGACAGAATGAACATTTTTTCAACATTGTTTACAGTCTAGGACAAAAGAGTAAGGAAACCCATTGGAAACTGGGGCAGGACTTCGCTCCAATACATCAACTAGGGGTGTGGGAAAAAAATCGTTTCGGTGATATATCGTGATTTTCGTCTGCCCGATCTTTCAGTTCCTAATATTGATTAAAAAAACGAAACATTTCCTCTAAGACAACGAGGGAAAATGGGCTAACTCTGCACCACCAAAATATCTAAAAGACCAATTTCTTCTGTTGACCATATACAGCACTTACTTTTTAATCTATACATTTCATTTTGATAGCTGGGTGAAATATCACAATATATATGTATCGTGAAAGCCACGCCAATACTCACCCCTAACATCAACCCAACCTGAAGCCAGAGCTCCAATGAACATCTTCTGATCAAAACAGAATGGCTTAATTAAATTTCAAGGTTTTTACCAGACTTAAAGCTACTTTGTAATGTTCATCTGAGCTTGAGCTATTCTGCAAAAAACAAACAAAAAAAAAAACACCCAGTTTCCATATACAAAGCTATAAGGGTCATACCTTAAAAGACCGGCAGCTATAAAGGTGTTTCTACAATATAATAAGACAAGGAGGGCTAAAAATGTGTTTTTATCTCATAGACATAACCTTATGACTATGGGATTAAAACACTATATATATATATATATATATATATATATATATATATAAATGTGTGTTTGTGTGTGTGTGTGTATAAAATCTGTCAGAAGAAAGCAAAGAAAACAAACATTCAATTGCAAAAATTGGCATAAATACCTTTACCCTGCTACAGAACTAATCTGATGTTGACAAGATATTAAGTGATTGTAAAATTAGCTCCAAATCAAAAGGATTTTAGAATGTCTGTATCCTTGTAAATAATTACAAATGTCACTATCCTAAACAAGAATACTTCTCTTTAGGGTAATGTCTCATTTCTTGTGCTCAGGCATAAATAGCACATTGTTAGATGTGGCGTCTACAGCTATAAGTCAAGGATTGTGTTGTTCCCACATAATATTTTCTGGTTAGAAATAAGCTTTCTTTTTCAGCCAAATCATCATGATATTAATACTAGGTAAATATTATGCCGCTTACCTTGATGGATAAATCCGGTTGCTGTCTCTGTTGGATGAGTATCCTTTCCACTGATCGTTTGAGTGTTTCTTTGTTTTTTGTTTTCCGTGTATAATGACTTGTTTCTGTCTGGGCTTTGACCAAACTGCAGCACCTGTCACTTGAACCCTGCGCTCCTGGAGAGATGCTGCTTTCTGCTCACATCCGCCGCGCGTCGCCGGGAGCGATACTTTCAGAGCGCGCGCACGAGAACGCTTTACAGGGTTCGACCTGCGTGTTTAAAAGTACCACAGTCATTTTAGTTTGGGTTCATAAGAATTTATTTAAACCAGGGTTTAAAAATCACGGGTAAACACAGAGCAGGACAAAGATGTTAGGGATCAGAAGCAGCCTGATGGTTGCGGTCCATGATCTGGATACAGGAATAGCGGTGCCATTTAGCACAGACAGTGAACGCAGATGATAAAATAAAACCACCAAACTTTAGGATAACATTTTTAATAAAAAAAAATAATGTCAGTGTTTGTATCTTAAATAATTAGTGTGAATATACTGGACAAAATGACTTTGATAATTTAATGTATGTAAGCTGACGTCATGTAAACAAGTTAAATATTTGAAAGTTGTGGGACCTGGCTGAGATCAATTAGACCTCATTAGTTGATTATTTGGCAATAGGTGGGGCCAGTGCTGCAAATAGAAATAAAATATAAATTCTATGCGCTATATTAGTACTATAATTAGCTGTAATTCATTATAATCTGACCAATATTGTGTGAGTTATTAGGGTGGTATTTGACAGGTCTTTTAAATTGCTGGACTAATCAAGCTTTCATTGGAAGCAGTCAATAAACCATTTATGTTAATAAAATGATCTCAGAAGACATACATATAACTTAAACATTCTATTGTACTTGTTTTCAAGAATTTAGTGTAACCTTGAATTAAATAAGAATATAATCTTTAAGTAAACTTGACTTATTCAAAAAGAAAAACATAATAAATTTGAAGTTGGCAAAAATATCCTTTAAAGTAATTCATTACTTAAAGATATTTTAATTTAATAGACTTCTTTGTTTTGTTTTGTTTTTTTTTTTTTACCAGTTTTGATTTTAACTTATTAGGGTCTGCAGTGTAGTTGTTTCTTTTGTTGTATTCTGTTTTGTTTTTTTTGTTTTTTTGTTTTTTATTAAACTTGCCTTATAGTTAATGTTTTCACAGAAAGACTACCAGTTTTTGTTGCAGAAAGTAGGAAATGAAACACAATAATAACAAAATCAATCAATCAATCAATCAAGCATGAATTATCTAGTAAATTCTATGGCTTTATTTAATAAACACATTAAGATCCCAAACCATTTTTTTTATATTTTGAGAGTGCAATGATAATCATTTGGAATTGACCTCAGTGGGATTTTATTTTCAGTCTTTATTAAGTACTTTAACCAATGCTTTATTTAAAAGCAAAATAAATCAGACTGATCCAAAAGTTAGATTTTGATTTCATTTATCCACATATTAACAATGAAAAAATAAATAAATAAAAAGGGGGTGGCTATTTGCTTTTATATTTAAATTTTTTTGTTGAATTTAAAAACCATTTTATGTGTCTAATTAAATAGAAATTAGAAAAAAGCCTAAGTATTAGTTTATATCCTTTTCAATGTAAAAAAATAAAAATAAACCAACATTCAATGCAAATAATACTGCTACCATTGCATACTTTGACTGTATGGAGCACTGTTTCTTCCACATTTCAGAGCATACTTAAACCACATCATGATGTATATCCAAAAAAAAAAAATGTAGCTTCTCCTGTGATTACAAACATGAACCCAGATTCAAACAAAAATTAGTTACCTGCACATCAGCTTTTGACTACTAAACAAAAAATGTGATGTTTCATATTTTATTTAGGAAAAAAAAGGCTTTTTAACATTTATTTAAACTACTTGTTTCTGATATAAAAAAAAAATACTTTATTGAATCATAATCAAACAAACTACTGGAATCTGAAATGAGTTTAATAAGAGGCACCACTGACCAGCATATAGCATGCTGCACCACTGTAACTTTAACAAAAAATTCATTTGATTCCTTTGTGTTTGCATCCCTTTTCGAGACTGAGAACTTTGGGTCCTTAATGAGAAACTCCACAATGTAGCATGAATATGAAACATTTAGGTTTGAGAGCGTGCTGATGAGATGAAGGATGGTTTATCTGACCGAAGAAGATATTTAAATCACGAAAGAGATTAATTTTTGTGAGCATTAGCCGAATCTTAGTGAGGTATACTGACCTCAAGTTCATTATCTAATGATATTTCTCATCTTTCTAAGATTATACCCTAAATTTTATATCATTTAAACAATGCTCTCAGGACAAATTATGCTTTTATCAGAAATTAAACATCATAAACCAAAGAAAAGGTTACTCAAATCAAGCAGATAGCTAGCTATAACAGCAGTGTAAGCTCAGGTCCATGGTTAAGAGTGCAGAAGTCTGTATTTTAGTGTGAGAGTGAGAGAGGTTGCAGATTGGAGGGTAAAGGATGAATTTATCACTGTATAAACCAGATAAAATGTAACAAAAAGCTTTGACGTGTTCAGAAATGGCCTTCTTAATTTCTGCCTCCATGCTCTGCCCATCAGAGTCCTGAAAACATTGTCAGCATGTGCTGCTGTGAGATAACAGTGTGATCGATTTGCTTTTCAGCGCAGACAGACATCCAACCTTTTGCTGATCAAATTTAATTACACAGAAGAGGCCCACATGAGAGGACGTTATGAGAACAGACGAGGCCTGAACATGGTGACAGGAGGAAGAGATGGTAAGATGAAGAACAAGAAAAGATGCTATAGATAATCTCATTGAAGATAAATTGGAAAACCTGGGTATTTTCCCTTCTGAGTGCCAATCTGCTGACATCTGCTGGACAAGATCTGAACCTTTTAGAATAAATGATTTGATTTTTGAGAGTTTTTACATGAATGGTTTCTAGACCTTTTCCTTACTGAGGTGAATTATGAGAAACCCATGTTCTTCTGCCCTTGACTCTGTCCCCGTGCCTTGAGCCATGCATTAGCAGCACAACATCCTGTTACCTTGGTAATCCATCCGAGGCCAGTGACAAGAGGAACACAAGGTATTTCTTGTCATTTGAAAGGCAAACATCCGTCTGTTTGTTCCTCCATCAGTTTGCTCATGCCTCATTGCAGGAATTTGTTATCTACTTCATATTAGCCTAAACGGAACTCCTAAAACATTTTTTGGTTTTCAGTTTTTTTATTAAAGAGGTGGCATTCCACAATAATTGTGGATAAAATAAGAGTTTAATTTCTTTAGGCATTAATAATATGATCAAAGTGTTTTTATTGTCTGGTTTAAAGGAGAACATTCATAATGGTGCCATTTTCTGCCTCCCATATGAGTAAACTCCTTATCCCTATTCAAGAAAATAACCCCCATGACATGATGCTGCTACCACCGTGTTTAACTGAGGGGATGGTGTTTTCAGGCTAATGTTCTATCTTGGCTTCCAGCAATGCTTAGTGTTTTACTACAGATAGAGGACAAACCCTGGGCAAAATCTTTTATCTTATGTAACAGATTTGTTCCCACTGCTCATGCAGCATCTATAGAATCTTTTGCTGTCACTGGACTTCTGTTGATCCAAAGTACTGTCTGCATGCCAAAAGACACTAAATAGCTTTGTTTTTGTGTAGGGTTCATGGGTAAACCTTTAGGGAACACATTCAACAGACATATTATACATTATTTAACTCAAAAGCCCCATATTTTTAATATTTATATAATACAGATTGCATTCTTAGTGCTTTTACTTCATCATTTTTTTTTGGGAGTGGTCTCATCCAGAGTTCCAGCTTGAAATTGTTCGGTGGGGCTGAAGATAAAGGTCACGAAAAGGAGACCTTCCATCCTAAAAGAGCTGGAGCTCACAACCTTGATTAAATAAATAAGCAAAATCCCAGTGGAAACAAACAAAAAAATACTCAAAATATGGTCCAGCCTGTGATTATTGAGGATTATGAAAAAAAAATGCTGTACAATGCTGTGATCTATAGTTATTGTTGCTTTGCAGCAAGAAAGACCTGGGCTTGAACCATGGCTTTCTGTTCTGTGTTTACTGTTCTCCTTGTGCATGCGACTTCCTTTAACATGCTCCGGTTTAAACCCATAGTCCAAAAACCTTACACGTAGGATGACTGGTGTCTTAACTGGCCATAGGCCTGAGATCTATGAGATTGCATGTGTGTGCATGGTTTTGTGTCTCTGTGTCACCCTGTGATGGACTTCGAAGGTATCCAGGGTGTAACCCACCTTTAACCCAAAGGCTGCTAGAGATACATACCTTTGACACTGATGAACAACCAGGTATAGAAAATGTACTTTTTTATGTTCAATTATCTACTTCAATTGAAATAAATAGCCTTGTTTCTTAAAATGATGCTCCATTTACATTCTTAAATTATCTTTGGATTTAAACATCCTGTTCATTATCAGAAAAATTAGAAACACTGAGATGAAACATCACAATCTGTCAGTGGTAAAAGATGTTGTGAAAGGAAGAAAGATAGCCAATTTAGAAAAGAGGAAAGACATAAGGTAAGGAGGAAAACAGACCCAAACTAAAGATAATTGTAATTGTTTCTTAAAGGGGCTTTTGTTTCTTAAGTGTTTCCTTTTAGGGCTGGGGCCCATCTTCAGCAGTTTATGGGCGAGAGGCTGGGTACGCCCTGGTTTATTTAGAGAATTTAGAGAAGCCAATTTACCTAACAGTCATGCTTGTAGACTATCGGAGGAAGCTGGAGTAACCAGAAGGAAACCCACGCATGTAAACTCCGTTCATAAAGATATTGGGCCAGAAATCAAACTCAGAACCTTCTTGTTGCAAGTCAACAGCGTTACAAACTGCACTACCAGGAAAACTCAGAAATCAAATTCCAGACTTTGTCAAACTGGATACGAATCATGATTTATTAACATACATACAACATTTGAGAAAGTTACCTCAAACAGAGTATTTATGACATTCAAAGCAGAAAAAAAGCCCTACAGTATATCAACCGGCTATAGTCACAAGACACCTGTAAGTATTATTAAAAAAATAGAGTGTGGTATTTATGTGAGCTCAT